CATACAGGGTTCCTCTCAATGGCTGCCATCCAGAAACTTTTACGTACTTGCTTTCTGACTAATTAAATTAAGAAATAAAACCTAACGTACCTAGGTTAGAAGAGAAACTAAAAAAAGGGAAATGAAACTTTGCACTTGAGTAAAGTGCAAAGTTTTTAAAGTAATGTTTGTTATTTTATAACCCATATTAAATTCCTTCACAGTGTTACCTTGTTGGCAAGGGAAGACAGGCTTGATAGTTCTGCTTGTCTCCTTTCCTGTCCTTCTGACAACAAATCTGTAGGTTCTGCAAACAAGGAGGTAGAGGAATGCAGATGCATTAATGCTTGTTGGTGCTGCAGAAAATGTGAGTTTAATCACTGCTGGTGTCCCAATGGAAAGTAGGTAGGAAAGTGTCTAACAGAAGAATAATAGAGGAAAAGTGGCTCTTGGAAAAAGGAGTGGACTGAGAGAGAGACAAAACTGTATAAATAATAAATCAGGAGAATGAAAAATGTGCTCGTTTGGACAAGATTATATTTCCAGTGTATAAAATTTGTGTTTACGCTATGTTTATTTTTAATGTAAGTTTATTGAAGATGTACCTAGATTTAAAGGTGAATTTAAGAGTGTCTTTATTGGCATTGGTCAGTTTAACCCAAAACAGACTTTTAAAGAAAGAAACCACTGGGGCCAGAGTTACAGGAGAACAAAGACAGTAAAGACTGAAAATAAAAACATGAGAGGCAAGTAAAAATACAAAATAAAACAGTAACAGTGTGGCAAAGAAAAGGAGATAATAAAGTTGCTAAATATGAGTAAATATAAAAATCATAAAGCAGGAGGATCTGTATGCTGTTGTGCATGTGGAAAGTGTATGAATTCTGTTTGTTTGACTGAGGGCATCTCATCCTAGAAACGGCGCTTTCCTGCTCACAGTGGAATGGCCAAGTTCTCCCAGTTTGCACTCAGCTTGAAAACCTGTTGCAAAATAACACAGACCCCTGTGTTCATTACAGCAAATGTGATGGGTACCTAAAGCTTATGGGTTAACTTGGTACAAGCCTGGTTTTGACTTATGATTTTGCAGGTGCCTGATTTGTATTGTAAAATTGGAGTCTGTCCATGTGCACAGTGGCCCAGAGCAGCCTGGGCACAGCCATGTGCAGCTGGTCAGTGCAAGGAGCAGAGTGCTCCTTCTTTGCTCTTCTGTGAATGAAGATAGGATGATGGCCTTCCACACTCTGATAGCTGCTGAATTCTGTCACCTCATCTGTGTTAAGAGCTCTTCAGTGTCTGATTATTTACCTGACTGCTGCCTGAACTTGTAAGATCTTAGATCTGGTTTGCTGCCTGCTAAAGAACGTAATACCAGAGCTACCAGCAGCATCCCCCTCTCCTATTGCCTGTGGGTCAAACACCAAGTTACCTGTAGAAGTTCTGCTTCCTTGACCAGCAAGGTTTGATTTGTTGATGTCTTGGTTATATTCCTGCCTTCTGCAGCAGAAGAGAGGAAGCAGGAAGAAGTTTACACACAGCCCAACTCATGGAGAGGGGAAGAGGAGGTGGCTACAAAGAGAAGGAAGGAATTACAGGGAGCTCCTGAAATAAAGGGGATGTTGGGTGTCATGTGAAAAGCTGTGTTGAGGCCCTGGAGCGGGCAATGAACTCGGCAGATCCTGTACCCTCCCGTGGAGTAGGAGCAATGCCTAAGGTGCTTTCCAAAGGGACTGTGGTTTCAAGACCAACTGGAGCAAATTTGAGCTTGCAGTACTGTTGAAAGGGGAAGTTCAGCTTAGGGCAAGATGCCTCTCGCAGGCACACACCAGGGGAGAGAGTGGGAATGTTAAGTAGCAGAGTGGCCACAGATCAGCTTCAGCTGATTGCAAAACTTCACTCAGAGATGGCAACAAAATTTGATATTTATCTGGTTAGTTTACATGCTACTTTTGACAATACTTCTACAGTAGGTTTCTGTCCTGGGCTTTCTCTCTTGATGGCATGGCACTTTTCCTGTGTGGTGGTTTGTTCTTTTTCTTATGCAGCAGCATGGTGTTTTAGCTGAAGTGATTGTCAAATGACTGCTGTTGTCTAGGTATTTGGAGATACATGTAGAATTGATAATTACTCAGCTGTGCTGAAATTAAACCTCTAATGACTGGAACTGCTTCACTTATTTAATTAGCTGAGGTGGTTTTTGTTTTTATTCCCTCAAATCTCTACTTCTCCAGAATGCTGTGATTTCCCTTTTCCTTTCTTTACAGAATTCATAATAATTTGCTCTAAGTGCGTGGTCTGTTTTTTCATTCTATTAGCAATGATTGTTTCTCTGTTAAACGCAGTCCCTTTTCAATGCATCAGAAGTATTGTTTTCCTTAGTGGAAAAGATGTTTGATCAGGTGACTGTGCAAATGAAGGCAGCTACATGTAGGCTACAGTATATAGGACGCGGCATTTGGAGGTTGCACGTGTTATGCCTGAACTGCCAAGTGCCTGGCTGTGATTCAGATAAAATTGGCACTGGTTGATGCCAACACCCCAGTGTAAATGGGGTGTAAGTCTTTCCTATGCTGTAGGGCCCTGAAAGAAGGTATTGAAGGGAATGAATGCCAGAGGGGACTAGGTTTCAATAAGGAGCACATGTATCACTTCTCTTTATCTCCTTCATACCCACTGTTCCACATATTGACTAGACCAGTGTGTGTGTATTCTTGTATCAGAGCAGATGTTCCTATAAGAAAGATGTTGCTTTGTTTTAATAAATTGAGGTTGTCACTTCAAAAATGGGAGAGGGAGGTGAAAGAAGTAGCATTGAGAGAATATGTCAAATGGGATTGAGAACAAAGTCCATGAGAATTTTCGTTGCAAGAACTGCGGGGAAGACTCCCTCACTGGTCTTGGCCATGATTTATGTAAGAATTTCTGCTTCAGGCTGTTTTTTTGTTTGGTTTGTGGTTTATTTTGTTTGTTTTAGACCAAAATTTAATAAATGTTTTGTCATTTCTTTCCCTCCATCTTCACCAGGTGTGATCCAACCCATGTGCTCAGCCTATTCTGGGAAGGGGAGGGTGGTGGTGATGGACTTGAGCAGTCTTTCAGACTGTGTCTCCTCTTGAAGACAAACTCTCCTGTTTGTCCATGCCTTAGCAAGTGTAGTGGTTGTGCTGTTTAGCCTCTCCTGACATCTTTCCTTAGTGCTGATACATTGTGAAAAAACACCGCTCTCCTACTTTGAAGTGGGAATGCCTTTGACTTCTTTTCAGAAACTCTTTCTTGCCTTTGGGGTGGCTGCTGAGGAGGCACTGGTGTGTGTGGTGAGCTTTGTTTAGGCCTTTCCTAGGTAGATCTCTGACCTTGTGAAAAAAAAAGTTACAGAAACAGGTGAATGACCCCGTGGCTATGAGAGCATTTTCTGTTAGACCTCAAGTACCATCCAGAAGTCTGTTCTGAAGCTGACTTGCAATAGACTGGAAATTATCTAGTCACAGCTTTTTTCCTCCAAGTATTTAAAAAAACTTCCAGTTCTGGTGATGAATGCTGCGTAAAGGGATTTACTTCTCCTGAGACCACTTGACCACCCTGACCCCTTTGAAGAAGAAAATTCTATAAGAGGCATATTTTATTTGAGGATTTGACAATGTCTTCCCCATCCTGGGTCTCCACTGCTAAGAAGAAACCTGGAACAGCAGGTTCCTGCTGACCTTTAAAATGCTCTCAGTGGAAAACCTGACACGGGATTTGTTCCTATGTGCTTCTGAGTGCCAGTGGGTGCCAGCCCTGAAAAAGCTTCAGAAAAAATTGAATAGGGAGATGTGTGTGGAGGAGGTTGGTTTTCATTATTTGCTGCAGTGGTTAGGGAGCGGCTCAGGTGGGTGAGTGCACTGCACTTGGTGCTGGGCACAGACCTGCACTCTGCTGCAGCTGCTGCTGGGCTAGGGGCTGGTGGCTGAAGCAGGGGATGCAACTGGTTGTCCCTGCCTTTGAGCCTTGGCTGTGGAGCGTCCTCCACACTGGGAGCTGCCTCTGTACCTGTACTGTGTACCTGGGCTTGCTGTCCTTGCAGTGAGCACCTGCTGTGCTGGTGTTTGCACCTTGGCACAGCATGCTGTGATCGGTGGTGCTGGGAAGGCCTTGGGGTGCAGCCAGGGCAGGAGAGACACATGAAGGGCAGCAAGGGAGCCAGCTGTGCACCAAGAGTCACGTACATCCTGCCTGTGGCCAGGGGACTCATTTTGGATATGGAGCAGATTTGGTTTACGTAGCAGCTTTCCCTGTGTTTGTTGATTGGAGGCAATTACTGTAAAATACTTGATTTATAACAAGGCATACTTAATAAGTGACAAACTAAAATAAATATTCATGAATTACCTGCTGGAGTCTGGCTGTTCATTTTGCTGAGTTGTTGCTTTCCATCTGCGGGCTCTGCAGAGCTCTGGAGCCTCTGGGTGTCTGGAGGTGGAGGCAGCCATGCTGAGTGTTGGCTGGTTGGGTTGAAGAGGGAGGGGCAGAATTCCATTCCTTTTCTCTTTTGTTCATCCTGAGGATAGAGGTGTTTTCCTGAGGTTTTTCCATTGACTCAAGATGGTCTGCTTGGCTGGTGTGCTGCTGTAATGCAGCAGTTCAGGTATGATCAGAGTGTTTCTGTGTAGCACACGCAGGGTGCAGCTACCGCGTTGTTGGGTGCGGGTCTGGCTTTTGTGGTGGTGTAGGGAAGTGATGAAGCAGAAATAGCAGTGTTCTTGGTTAAGTTAGGAGAAGGCAATATTTTTAAGAAAATATGTGGGAAATGACAAATTGCTGGTTTGGGATCCACACTCTTCAAGAACAGGACAACTCATTTAGAGTAGTTCTGAAATTATTAAAGTAAGGATGTGTTAAGTCTTCCCCAGAGATGAAGTGCTGTCAGCAAAAGGATGACTAACATTCTGCTTCTGTGTTGCAGAGTGGCATTCCTCTGACACCCTGCTACCATGAACACTTTATTTGGCCAGTTTTACTCACAGCAGTTTATTTTCATACAGGAAGAGTCTGTGGTGCTTGTCAAAATGAGAAAGTGACCATCAGAGCCTAGCTTGGTATTCCTGTCACTGGAGCCTTCAGGAGCCAGCACTCAGCCCAGCTGAAGCCAGAGGAGGAAGGTGGAGAAGCACAGCCTGATCAGGTACTGAGCCAGTAATGGGAAAAGTTGTCTGATGCCAAGTTGAAGTTATGGATGATCGTTAGTTATAAAAATAGTTCCTTAAAAGGTTTTGCTAACACGTGTGATGCAATAGTGGCCCAGTAAGGACAGCCACATCATCTGTGGGCCTAGCATGGGTGCATATTATATGTCTGAGTACTGTAACAGAACTGAGGTAAACATAAACAGATGTTTTCTGGGGTATTTGATTTACACATCTAACGTGCAGTACAGCTCAGTGTGTGTTTGCAACTACCTGTTTTCAGTCTTGACGTGAGTTGGAAAGCGTGGACTAGGAATGCTCTTAAAAAATGTTTGAATGTTGAAGAGCAATTGAAGGGGAAGAGTTTTTTTCCTCAGCTTTATTCTTTCTTCTAGTAGGGAGACTTAAGTGCCAGCTTTTGAGGAGCACGGTGTTACGTGGGAACCATGGAGCACAGAGAGGTATCAGGCTGATGGGTTTTAAGACAAAACTGACTGTCAGCTTGCTAACTTTTGTTGAGATTTCCGTAACTGTCCCTGGAAACTGGTATTTATTCTTGCCTTCGCATCTTTCAGATTGTCATACTTCAGATTTAGTTGGGCTCATCTTCTATGAAGACAGAGAAGTTAAAGGTTTTGATTTTTTGTATTTCATTTGGTTTTGGGTTTTTTCCTTACGTAACTTTATCTTCCAGTTTATGTGGGACTTCTGCTCTGAGGACCATGTTCTGAAGATATTTTGCGTATTTTTATGTACCCTTAGAGATTCCTTAAGAACCAGGCTACTGCTTATGAGGGCTTGGGTTGGCAGTGGCATGAAGCTCACTTTTAGAGGGAAGAATTCTTTTAAGGGGCAGTGTTTCTTTACCTCAAGTGATGCTTTCTCTCCAGAAATACCAGCATCTGTTGCTTAGACTGTCTGAATTTATTACTCATGTTTTTGTTATTTTTTGAATTTATTCACTCAGGTGGAAGCAGTGAGGATTTGTTTAAATAAACTGTTAAGAAAATTATTCCTAATGTGCTAGAGGCAATTTCCGTCTCTGTCTGACTATATCTTTCTTTGTGTGGTTAAGAAAAGGGAGTCTCTTTCCAGCAGGCATTGGGAATAATTCAGGTTTTTTTTTTTTTTTGGTCTTGGGAAATAAGAACCAGCATTTATTTGATTCAACAACCAACTTCCTGCTTCCCAAGGAAGAGATAGTGGCTCATTTGCCTGCAAACATCCCTCCTGTGGAGAGTCTTTGTTGGGGAGTTAGAGGAAAGCTAGCAGCTACTAGTGAAATAGCTGCATAGCAGGATGAAGAGGGATTATTGAAGCATTACTAGGAAATTCATGGCTGTGTGCAAGACCTTATGTACTCCACAGACAAGCTGACCTAAATTCTGCAGCCAGGCCTTACTGGTTTCTGTGTTGATGTGATGTGGCAGGCTGGATAACCTGCAGCAGATCTGGGGTTTAAAAAAACAAAGGGAGGGAGCACAGAAAAGATTTAGATTTGAGTGGAAACACAGACAAGCAAATCTTTAGAAGTTTACTGAATCTGTCTTAAATTTTTTTGTTGTTTTCTAACTGCCACTTCTCTATTCTTAGTCTTGAGTACTTTCCATGTAGTCAGGATGAGTCTGTATTATAAGGATGCTCATTAGGAAGAGTGGAAAAGTTGTTTACTGGATGGGGAATACATGGATGGTTTTGCTTCTAAGGGGCTTTTACGGGTGTTTTGGAGTTGAGGTAGGTTTTAGCAAAGAAATGGTGCAAGTATCTTATCAGTAGTGAAACAGTTAACACAACTGACACTTTATCTCTTGAGGGGAATAGGATTAGTATCTATTTGACAAATGGAATGGCTTACACTTATGTTTTCAGGCAATGTTTGTTTCTCAAGATTAAACATTACACAAAACATGACACAAAAATCCAAATAGAAAAGAAAATGTCACCTCTATCAAAGTAAAGTTGGTCAGTCTGACCTGCTGCAATGTTTTCTTGCTGTTACTTCTTGTAGAAGTGTTGTGACTTTGCAGTTTAGTTTCTGCTGGCACTAACGTGGTATGATGGCAGTTACTACTTCCTCCCTTCTTCTGTAGATGTAAGCTCGACTGATGCAATGCTCTCCTTTGCTTTCACACTTCCCACCTGCATGCTTTCGTTACCTGGTCTCACCACTTCCTCCAGAGGTGCCTCTATGGGTACAAGAGGAATTTTTTTGCTGGTGCTGCTTAAACCAGGTCCTGTGAAAGAACCTTATGCAGGCAGAAAAATTTTGCAGCCACAAGAAGGGCTTCTGCAGTAAGGTTTTTGCTGGCATAGTTGAGAAGCAAGAAAAAAATATTCGCTGATACAGTTAAATGAACAAAATGTTGAAGTGTGGCTAGGGGCTTTCCTGTGCTAGTGTTCTGGTCTGGTTACTGTGATGGAGTGTGTGTGTATATTTGTGTCTGGAAACCTCTTTTTGTGGGAGCATAAGCTTTAAGCTCTTTTGAATTTTTTTAGAGGAATTTCTGCAGCTGCAGCATCCTGAAGTGCCAGGGGAAATAGTGATATCCTAAAACATTGCTGGCTTATTTTAGATCACATTTCGCTTGATGTGCTTTTGATTTGTTTTAAGAGCAACTTGTCTGTATAAGCTATTTGTTAACTATATGCACATAATAAGCAGCAGTGCCGACTCTTCTTTTGGAAGCAGGGATGAAGGGACGCAAGCTGGACATTTCTTGTGTCCTGCCTTAATGGCATTCTGGCATGCAATTCCTCTGTACAATGTAAGAGATAGCTATTAAATTCATCAGATTTGCCTATGCATCAGCTCTCCATGAGCTAATTACAAAAATATATTGTTACCAAACTCAATATTAGGAGGTCACCTGTCAACTTGCTCTGATCTGTTCATGGAGTGAGTGCCAGGGATAGGTTGTGCTGATGGTCCTTTGTTTTTTGTGTGTTTAAGCTGTGTGAGCTTGTGGCACAGGGTGAGACCTGGTGTAGCTCGATTATGAAAATCAATTTTTGACAACGGCTACCAGAGGGCAGACAAAAAGGTGGATATCCTGAAGAGCTTTGTGTGTCAAAGTGTCCCTCAGCTCCTGGGCTGGGGTGTGAAGGTGCCAGATGTGTTCAAATGGTAGACTTTCCTGGGTGTTTACCCACAGATAACTTCTAACCCAATACTGAGGCATGCTCCTGCGACGTTTGGGGGCTCCCTGCAGCTCTGCCTGCTCACGTATTGACTTGTACTGATGCTGCTGTCAGCCCTGGTTGGCACAGCGCTCACAAGGGCTGAGGGAGGGAGGGAGGGCAGGGCTGCCCCTGCCAGGCTCCATCCAGCTCCCCAGCCAACATAATGCCTGCTGTGTGCCACAAGGGAGCCAGAAGAATCTGCAGGGACTGTGACCAACAGAGGAAGCACCAAGTGCTGTCTCTGTTGCCCCGTCAGGAGCAGATATGGTGAGGGGATTGGAAGGCAAGGGCTCTTTCCCTTGTGTGTGTCTTCAAAACCACAAGCAGTAACTAGAAGTTTAAAAGGTGACAAATAAATTAAATTGATTTGAATTTCCTCCAAAACGTAAACTGCTTTTTGCTTGCAACAGTGTATTGCCAAGGCCACCTCAAGGCAGAAGGAATGTTTTCCTTAGGTGTAGATTTAGATGTCATTTTGACTACTTCTTTGCAATGAAAAGAACTTTGGTCTATCTCACTCCAGTGTTACAATTTTCATGTCAGGTTATCTTTTCTTTCTTCCTCTCCTCCCAGCAGAATTTTCAGTGTTATCCTTAGTTACAGAAACTGGAAAATAGCCCTACTTTGATGTCCTTTTCACTGTTTTTGCTCTCATATTTCTTTGCCTAGACAGGAGAGTTGTCTATTACTGATAGCAAAAGACAGTCCCCGCAGCCACGTGTCAGTGAGCTGAGCTGTTTCCAGCCAGCCTGTCCTTCTGCGAGCCCCAACCCCGCCTGGCCGCGGGCGGTGACACCAGCGCGGGGCGGGAAGGAGACAACGGCGCTCACGGGGGTTTGTCGGCAAATGTGCTATGGCAGAGAAGAATCTGAGCAGGGTCAAAATGCAGCAGTGCTCTCTTTGAACCTTCTGTAGAGTAAATGCCTGTATATAGACCTGTTTCCTTCTGGATGTGTATCAAGTTCAGTTGGCTGCAGTAATCTTAGCCATACGTTTTGACACAATGTGATGTTGTTTTGAAATATCTGCCTGCTTTCAGTTATTGACTGGAATCTCAGGAGGTGTCTTTTGGATAGATGGCAAGAGATTCTCAGCACGTTGCTGCCTCAAGCTTCATCCATTGTCTTCGGTAGGTGATGTTCTCTTGGATAAGGGAGCACCATCACAGGGTTCCTGTTCTCATGGAGGCTGACTAGGAACACTGGAGCCCTAAATCAGCATAGTGAGGTTCAGCATCAAAGAGTAAGGTCTATCTGTCCTTGTCTGTACCTGATTTGTTTTCAGAGAGAGGTGAAACACTTCCAACAACTGAGAAACCACAGAAGAGATTGGGCTGGGGAAAAGTTGGCCTTTTCAACATCTAACAAGTTGCCTAGTAATGCTGTTTTTGCACTTGGTGGTAAAAAGGACATACTGTAAGATATTGGTGACATTATTGCCTGGCACCTCAGACAGTAATGATGGGGGGAGAGGGATTTGCAAGGGAAGAAAAATGAACAAACAGTTCT